TGGGGGGAGGACGGCCGGGAGTGATGGGGGGGAGGACGGCCAGGGGTGATGGGGGGGGGCTGTGCTTCCTGCTTCCTGTGCTTACCGGATGGAACTTGCCACCGCCGCCCCCAAGGGCAGGGGTCACTGCCTGCTGCGTCCACGCCTGTCCCAGCAGACGGGCACACCTTGTCTGGAGCTCTGCCTGGCTCCCTGTCATCCCTGCTGGACTGTCCTGATCGCACACTCCCCGTCACAGGCTTGCCGCCCTTCAGCCAGTGTCCTGGGCTGCCAGAGCGCCAGGCCGCAGGCCACCTGTCACGACTGCAGACCTATTACCCTGTATTCATCCTACACGTGAGTGGAAGTGGCTTACAGGCCTCCATAACCTATGAAAATAAGCTGAGAGCATGAGGGCTCAGTGATGGCACCCAGGCCCCAAGTTCAAGCCCCAGGACCAGAGAAAAACACACACACACAAACAGCTCAGTGCCTAAGGCTGGAGATTTAGCTCGGTGGAAGAGCACTTGGCTCACAGGTGCAAGGCCCTGAGTTGTGTCCTCTTCTCTGCAAAACAAACAAAACAGTGCCTAGAGTACAGTGAAGTTTCTGGAAACTTCAATGAGTTCAAATAGGTTGAAAAAAGACTTGTTGCCAATGCTGGGGTAGCAGAATGGCTCAAGTAGTTAAAAGTGTGAGCTCTGCCGTTCCTGAATCTGAGGCTCAGTCCCAATTACGTGACTCTAAGCAAGGCAATAACTGTTCTTAACGCAGTGGCAGAAATGGGTGCACACGGGTGCCTACCGCGAAGGAGTTTGGTAAAGTCGCGCTTACAGTAAGCACCAAGGACGTGTTGATGTGGAAAGTGCTTCCTCCGCACCAGGCGGTGGGGCACCTGGGCAAACATATCCAGAGCCTGGCAGGTGCCTGTGGTCCCGTGCCCTCGCCTGGCTCCTGGTTGGTGAGGAGCAGCTGCCCGCAGGCCCTGGCCTCGGGTAGGAGCAAGGCTCCTGAGCCTGCCCATTTCACAGCCTTTGTGGAGACACAGGAGCCCCTGTGAGCCGTTCAGATCCCTCTCCACGCAGACTGAGAGTCGATGAACCACCACACGGCCCTCCACTTGCCTGTCTGGGCTCTGGAGACAAGCGGGGCTGGACCGACGGAGCCAACTTAATTACAGCCAACACTGGGCCTCTGTGCACACACACTGCTATGGCCACCAGACCAGCGGTCACAGAACAGAACCACTCGGCTCACACAACCACTGCTTTTCAAACTCCTCTCCCGTAAGTAGCTCCTAACCCTGCTCACCTGCCTCACCATTTAACCCCTCCAAAGGGGCATAGGTAAAAGCTGGAAGAAAAACCCAGTTCTTGGAAAGATTCAGCCAAAGGATGTGGTGTTTTTTTTTTTTTTTTTTGTGGGTGGAGGATGAAGAGCTGTTCGGTTTAGTATGCATTTAGACATGGCGTGTGATGAGCATAGGCCTGGAGTGACAGCTCTTGAAGATTGATAGACAGACTCACATGGGAAGCAGGGTGGGGGGGATGGGGGGAGGCATTGCGATGAAAGTGGGGTCACCGGCAGGTGCTCCTTCATTCTGTGCAAGAAATTGTGTTCTCTTTAAAGCGGGGCCTTTCTTTTGTGCATATTTAAGGAAACCTAACACTCCATACACCAGTGGCAAGCATTTCTACACTTGATTTTCACAGTGATGTTCTAATGACCCCCCCACCTTTGTGCTAAGTAAGCAAAGCGTAATCCTGCCCCTGTTACCTGCCCACCCCCCCAACAGGAATCGAACCCAGGGCTTCATGCATTCAAGGCAAGCACTCTATCACTGAGCCACCTTCCCAGCCCTCAACTTCTGGTTTTCTGGTGGTTAATTGGAGATAAGAGTCTTAAGGACTTTCCTGCCCAGGCTGGCTTTGAACCGAGGGCAATCCTCAGATCTGGACCCCTTGAGTAGCTGAGATTACAGGCATGAGCCACTGGCACCTCGTTAGAGTAAAACCCTCCTAGACAGAAAGTAGCCTGAGGAAAGTGTAACTGGAGGTTGAATCATGGGTCTTCGGGCGTTCTCTTCTTCTGTGCTGTCTCTGGCTCTCTCATTCACGCATGTTGGGTGAGTGTGACTTACCCAGAGAGATGCTAAGAAAACGTGTACCTCCGGATGGGGACAGAACCACCAGCATGAAGAAGGCGGTGGGCAAGCCCAGCTTTCCAAGGGAAGGACTTGAATTTGGGGTGACTCTTGCTTGGGCTTGGTTCAAGTTTTCTATGGGCAGCAAGCATACAGGGAGCGACGTGGGGAGCTGGGGTGGTGGTTAATGTCACTCTGGAAAGGCAGTTGTTTTATATATACATATATCTATATGTACACATGGACCAGGACTCACCCTCCGATCTGATCCTTTTGCTCATTGGCTGGCGCTTTATACCTGAACGCTGCAAATACAAATCAAGACTGCTAGTGCCTCTGTGGAGTTTGGAACTGACCGTAACCTATCTTTTTGGAGGTGGGGATTTCTTAGTACCCATCCTTAAGAGATGCCAAATTTACTGCAAAAGCCAACAGTGCCCATGTGCTGTTTTGTGCCGTTTCCGTTTCTTCCTGTACCTGGCGATGTACACAGAAAATACCTGCTTCTGGGCGCGGGAGGCGGGGGAGATGCACACACGGCGAGCTGTCAGGCTTAGGTTTGTCGGGGCATGGCAGGCTGGGAGGGTGTCATCCGGGTGGTGTGCAGGCGCTCTGCCAGCCACAGCGCGCTCCCCAAGGAGAGCCACTCCTGCCCATCTTAATTTGGCCCAGCCAGGTGTGAGGCCGCTGTGCTCAGAGCTGCGTTGAGATTGTTAGCTTGTGTTTGGGGTGCGGGGTAGGGTGTGTGTGGAGAACTCAGATTGATGATGTATGTGAGAATTAAACAAGTTATATATATTCGATGTTGAAGGTGCTTTAAAAAAATCCTCTGATAATGAGAGTTGCTGTGGTTCTTGCCCTGTGGGGTGGGAGAAAGTAAATGGGCAGAGGGTGGGGTGGCTGGCCGTAGCTACGTCACAGCCTGAGACCCCACTCCCCGAAGACCTGTCTCAACTCAGCAGGAGTGTCAGAAGCACACATGTTGAGATTTGCCCTCCTCTTCCTCCACAGAATTAAAAAATATAGCCACTCAGGAGGTGAGCTTGAGGATTGTGGTTCAAACTAGATAGGGGCAGACAAATCCAAGAGACTCTCATCGCCATGAACCAGCAAAAAGTGGAAGTGTGGCTCACGCGGTAGAGCGCCAGCCTTGCGAGAACAAGCCAAGCGAAAGGAGTGTGAGGCCCTGGATTCACGCTGTCACACTGGCACTGCACACATACACGGGTGCCCCCCAAACACACGCGAACACAAAAAGTATCGTTTACGAGCACATAAAGATGGCATCGGAGGACTGTCATCTGGATGTATGCATTCTTCTGTGTTCAGTATGCTCATTCATTTTTGTTGGACTTTGCAGAGACTGAATGGAAAGACTTCTGTGGGTCCTAAGCAGGGCCGTCCTGCCTACACCATTCCCCTGGGGTTTAGGTGGTGCCCTCCCGAAGGACTGAGACCCTTCCTCATTTCTGGAGAGTTCCTGGCTTGGGTCTGGGCGAGCCCTGGTGAGTGGACCTTCCCCTGGCCCTGCAGGACATGCGGGGGCGGAAGAGGACCGCGTGGAGATTGTCGGAAGTGGGCTGGGAAGGAAAGGCTTGCCTGGCTTTCTTAGGTTTTGCTTTGTTTTGTGTTTTGCTAGTTGGGGCTTGGATTGGGGGCTTGAGTCTGTTACTTGAACCACGTCTCCATTTGCTGAGTCATGGGAGCTGGAGTCTCCCAGCTGCTTCTGCCCAGGGCTGACTTGGCACCACATGCAGCCCTCCAGGCCCCAGCCTCCGGAGTATTGGGAAGTACAGGTGTGAGCCTCAGCATCCGGCTTGTGGACTGGTCTTTGGTTCCTGTGTTTCTTCTCTGGGTTACGTGTGGCCTGCTATGGAGTGCTCCCTGTGAATCGACCACGGTGCCAAAAATCTTGCCATGATTTGTCAGTGGCACCGTCCCCTTTGTAAGTGAGAACATTAAGGCTTAAAGGAGTTAAGCCTCTCACACAAGAATCTAAATTTAGAGCAGCTGGGGTTCAAGCTCATCACCATTGTGCTGCTTCCCCAGATCGTGTGAGATTTGGTACCCCAAAACATTTGAGCTTGTGGGTGATTGCTCAGTCAGAAGGGCTGCGTGGGGAACCCGGCCTGACCAGAGGCTGGATGGCCAGTTGCTTAGCTGACATATGGGCCACAAGTTACTAAGCCACCATCAGGATTTGGGCCTAGTTACAAGCTGTATCCTTAGCTTGGCTCAAGCTATATGCTTCCCTAAAAAATGGCAAGGTTATAGCCAGGCACAGGTGGCTCACACCTGTCATCCTAGCTACTCAGGAGGCTGAGATCCGAGGATGGTGGTTCAAAGCCAGCCCAGGCAGAAAAGTCCATGAGACTCTTATCTCCAATAAACCACTTGAAAACCGGAAGTGGCGCTGTGGCTCAAGCGGTAGAGCGCTCGCCTTGAGCTGAAGAGCTGAGGGACAGCGCCTAGGCCCAGAGTTCAAGCCCCACAACTGACAAAAAAAAATTAAAAATAAAAATAAAAAAATGACAAGGTTAGGGAGAGCTATGAACTCAAGACTTCTTTTGGCCCTGTCCCAAGATTTCACTTTCAAATTACTTGAAAAGCGAAAGTAGAAGTCAATGTGCTGGTAACATGTCATTGGGGCCATTCTAGCTTACTATCAGTTTTCACAATACAGGAACATGTGTACTCTGTGTGTGTGTGTGTGTGTGTGTGTGTGTGTACATGCAAGCGAGCACGTGAGCATGCTTCCTTTATAGACTGGGTCAGAAAACGGTTCCTTCCTATAAATTTTTGTGGGTATATGTGTGCCAGTACTGGGTCTTGAACTACGGGTCTTACATTTTAACTTGACTTTTTTGCTCAAGGCTAGGGCTCTACCACTTGAGCCACAGCTCCACTTCCAGCTTTTTGCTGGTTATCTGGAGATAAGTTTCCCACAGAACTTTTTGCCCAGGCTGACTTCAAATTTTGATTCTTTGATTTCAACCTCCTGAATAGCTAGGATTACAGATGTGAGCCACTGATGCCTAGCTTAATTTTTATTTTTCCTGAGGAAATTATTAGATCTAGTGATTGAAGCATTACCAAGAAGTATTATTTATTAAGGTATGATTACAGCAGAGTATTTAGCTGAGGTGGTTTAGAGTGCCAGCCCAGCAAATGTAAAGCCCGGAGTTCTAACTCTGGTATGGGCAAATAATTCCTTCATGAGAGTCCTGAAATTACATTAAAAAAACCACATACAGAATAAAACAAAAATCTGCCTAGGCCAGTCTGGACTGTGATCCTCCTGTTTATACTTCTGACCTAGCTGGGTCAGCAGATGCTGCCACCGCACTGGCCTTTTACTGGTTGAGAGTGAGGTCTCAAAATTTTTTTTCCCCCAGGCTGTTGTCAAACCTCAACCCTCTTGATCTTTACCTCCCAGGCAGCTAGGATTCCTGACATGAGACGTCCCCCTGGCTTGCATGCTGTAACTTTGATAAGCGTGTGGATGTCTGAACACTAGGACAGGTTCCTGAGAGACAGGGATGGCTTTGGAATCAGACTCTTGGGCTCCCTGTTCTTGGCAGTTGTGGCTCTCTCTGAACACTATGTTCATTATTGTCTCATGATACCATTTGGACTGGAGCTAAGGAAAATTGAGGTTTCAAGATCGACCAAGACAAAAGTCCTTTTAGTAGGCCGTGTTCTGAATTTCTTCCCTTAAGTGAACCAAAGTCATTTGCGTTTGCAGACGAGATGCCCCTGCCTGAAACCGTACCACCCGAAATCCAGGCAGGACGCGCTCTGATTGGCTCTCACTGCCCGGTAAAAAGTCTATCTGGAAGGGGAAGAACGAAACTGGCCCTCACTGACATATCTGTAGTGGCTCTCATGCAGTACTTCATGAGGGCACGATTGTATCCCATGTATGTATCCAGAAGAAATACTATTTCAGCAGGAATAGAGCTCAGGGGAAAGATGACCATCTTACGAGTCTGTCTGTATGTCTGTCTGTCTGAAAGCCTTTCAGATCTAGTAGTTTCTTTTTTTTGAGGGGGGGGGGGTCCAGTCGTGGGGCCTGAACTCTGGGCCTGGGCGCTGTTCCTCAGCTCTTCAGCTCAAGGCTAGCGCTCTCCCACTTGAGCCACAGTGCCACTTCCGGTTTTTTTCTTTTTTGCTTATGTGGTGCTGGGGAATTGAACCCAGGGCCTCAGGCATGCAAGGCAAGCGCTCTACCACTGAGCCACCTTCCCAGCCCCACAGATCTAGTAGTTTCTTAGGGAGGTGAGACTCAGATATTCGTTGGTGTTGGCTGCGTGGGTGGAACACACAAAGTAACTCCATACTGTGTGACACCACGGGGGCTACAAAGACCCACAAAACATCTCAGGTGAACCAGTTTGCTGAGTATTGGAGGAGATTTGGGGTTGAGACCTCTGGAATTAAGCCAGACTGAACATGACAAACTTGGAACCAGTGAGTCGGAACTCTGGGGGACTTTCAGGGTCCAGGGTTGGGGAACCCCAAGCCTTTCCTAATTTCCTCCGGAGACTTCTACTGAAGTGAGCTGACAGCTTCCTCTTCCGGCTCTGAGGACAGACTTCTTGTCTCTACTCACAAGTCTTCGTGCAGACACTCATCAGTAACCAGTTCAGAACTGTACCATGTCTTCAAAGTGGAGCTTGGCTTTCTGACCAGGAGAGAGTCTGTTGTACCTGATGAGACTGTGTCACCCATGGTGAAGTATTCTTCTCTGCCTTTAGTCATCTCCGTCTGGAGAAGTCTCATTCACCTTCCTAATTGATCCACAATTACAATTGGAGTTTTCACACCTTCCCTTGGTGCTGAATTGTTTCGCTTCATAAAAAGTGTCAGATAGCCACAAAGTTTCATAAAACCGACTTATGGAAATTTCCCCATCCTAGAAGCCATCTCCATGGTGGTCCCGCCTGGTGCTCTGCCTGGTTTTATTGAGGGCTTGAACTCAGAGCCTCACGCGCTTGCTTGGCTTTTTTTTTTTTTTTTTGTCAGTTGTGGGGCTTGAACTCTGGGCCTGGGCGCTGTCCTTCAGCTCTTCAGCTCAAGGCAAGTGCTCTACCACTTTAGCCACAGCACCACTTCTGGCTTTCTGGTGGTTTATTGGAGATAAGAGTCTCACGGATTTTCCTGCCCAGGCTGGCTTTGAACAGTGATCCTCAGATCTCAGCTTCTTGTGTAGTGAGGATTACAGGTGTGAGCCATCGGTACCTGGCCTTTCTTTTTTTTGCCAGTCCTGGGGCTTGAACTTGGGGCCTGGGCACTGTCCTTGTGCTTCATTTACCTAAGGCTAGCACTCTATCACTTGAGTCACAGTGCTACTTCTGGCTTTTTCTGTTTATGTGGTGCTGAGGAATCAAACCCAGGGCTTCATGTGTGCTAGGCAAGCGCTCTACCCCTGAGCCACATTCCTAGCCTTCTTGCTTGGCTTTTAGCTCAAGGCTGATACTCTACCTGCTTGAACCACACCGTTTCTAGTTAACTAGTGATAAAAGTCTCATAGATGTGTCTGTCCTGGCTGGCTTTGAACCAGTTTGCTCAGATCTCAGCTGCCTGAGTAGCTGGGATTATAGGCATGAGGTAAGTGGCACCCAGCAAATTCAAAATTCTTAAGTGAAAAAAATTAGAGCGATGTCTTACTCTATTTCAGCCATGTTGTCCAACTCCCAGCTCACGTCTGGTGTGTGGTAGCCCCCGCCTCCCTTGGGGTCTCCCCTGGAGCCTTTCCTTTAGCCTTCCCAGCCTGGTGCCCCAGAAAATCCCTTCCTACTCTTCTGAGATGGTTCAGCAGATCCTAGTTCCCTGCGAGGAAGCGTTTATAACTTCACAAGTTTATTTTTAAACTGTCACTTTGAGAGCACATAGAATCTGGGATGTGGTCTCGTTTTGAGGCCGAAGCTAGGAGCAGAGGAATGAGAAAGGATTTTAATTTTAGCCATCGAGTTGTGGCATCCCTACTCTTAGAGAACACTTTTGTTTAAAAAAAGAAAGGATGAAATTGTATAAATTCAGAGCACACCAAACTACTCCATCATGGCTTTGGAGGAACCCTGGTCTATATTCTTCATAGTTCTCTTATCTTCACCCCGAGGTGGGCCAGAAAACCTCAGCTTTTCTCCCCAAAGCAAGCCAGAGGTGTCCCCTGAGGCTGAAAGAATCACTCTTATTCCTGGGGACACAAGAGCGCAGAATCTGCATGGACCTCACCTGTCCATCTTCCTCCCACCCATCTGTGCTGTAGGATACCCCCTTTGTGCAAGAGGAGGGGAAATCTGAGTGGGCCTCCTTTTCCTGCCTGGTTAAAGTCCTCCACAAGGAATCCTTCCCAGTGGAAATGAATCTTTGTCTTTCTCTGAGTACAAGGGTGAGCAAAGCAGATGCCAGTGGCTTCGTAGGAGTGACTCAGAAGTGCGCCGTGGCTGCTGTGTTGTCCCCTCACGGTGCCCCAGGAGCCAGCGCCCAGACAGCTGTTTTTCCAGGGGGAAGCAGGAAAGAGTGTTAAAAAAAAAACCACCACCCAAAAGTCATTTGATAAGAAAGGGCTCACTTTGTTGGTACAGTGGATTGCAATCAGTTAGTCAACTAAGGTTTGATAAAGGCCCCTGGAAAGTACAGAGTCATTAATGCCCCCGTCATTGTTCAACCTCGGGGTGACCTTCTCCATTAGCACAGGAGACATTGATCTCTGAAACAACCTGGTCTCCCTAAGACTCAAGGAAAATTCTTCCTATGGGGAAAGCCACCGATGAGAAACACAATAATCCAACTCCTCAAGCTACAGACAGAGCCCTGGACACATGGCAGGCATAGGGAAAGAACGGAGGTCTGGAGACCTCCTTCACTTCATGGAGGCTGGTGGCGGGAGCATCTGTCCTCAGGAAGCCTGCCTCCACTGGTTCAAAGTTCGTCTCTCCTTGTAACTGTCCGTCTGGCACGATGGCACACTGCGTCTCCAGGAATCTTACCTCCAGTGAGTGTGACTTTCTGGAAATTGCTTTGGGCCTAAGAAACTGGAGATCACACAAGACAGATTTTATTTTACTTTGTTTATTTATGTCACCGTGAATTTTTGATGTGGTCTACACTATTTTCCAAAGAATATTTCTGTGTGCAACATTAATATGTATACAAAAGGCTGATGGTCAAGGAAGTTTGCAGGGTTAATATGAGTTACATAGGTTTCTCTGTGGTAGGGTTGTTCAGAACTTTTCATGGATGCCCTTAATGAATCTCAGGAGTTTCTGAGATTTTTTTTTTATTCTCAGAGTCCATGATAGAACATGACTTAACCAACACATTTGAAGTGACATTGATTATTTGAGGTGTCCTTATACAGTAGGCATCTGAAATACCCCACAGGAACACACCAAGGGTAGCCAAAGGACACATGATTCTAATCCCAAGTTCTTATTAGCAACGGCAGCAGCAAGCAATAGCAAGTTGCTATCTTTTTTTTTTTTTTTTGTCTGTTGTGGTGTCTGAACTCTGGGCCTGAGCGCTTTCCCTGCCCTTTTTAGCTCAAGGTGAGTGCTCTACCGATTGAACCACAGCACCACTTCTGGTTTTCTAGCAGTTTATTTGAGATAAGAGTCTCACAGAGTTTCCTGCCCCAGCTGACTTTGAACCGTGATCCTCAGATCTCAGCCTCCTGAGTAGCTAGGATTACAGGCGTGAGCCACCGGTGCCCGGTGCTGCTATCATCTTTAAAGTTAGCAAATTATGGCCATAGTTGGTTCGTGGGGCAAGCGCTAGGGGTATCCAATGAGAACTGTGAACTCACACAAATGTCAGTCTGTGGTTCCTGTGAAGATGGCAACACGTCTCATAACAGCTCGAGAAATCCCTTCTCTTGTTTGTTTGGATGCTGTGTCGGCGAGGAGACCCCTCCTCCCCCTCTGCATTTATCTACTCTTCATCAAATCAACACAGTTGAATGCCTCTTTTGGGACAAGATACTAGTTGCTTCTAGAAGAGTTATGCCAAGACTCATACAATCCTCTTGGAAGATGCACATCCTTCAGAGACTGCTTGTGGTGACTGTATGTGAGATTATCCGGCCGACGCCCGGGGCACCGGGGCTTGTGGGCGTGAGCCTGGCCGGACAGGCCACTGCAGCTGCTCCTCATGGTCATGAACGCGTCGCCTCTCGGTTGGATGAAGCACGTGGCAGCCGCAGCTTTGCTGTGGGCGACTTCCCCCCATCACTCCTGCAGACCTAACTTTACTTCTCCCAAACTTGGGTTTTATAATTACTTTCCCAGAGATGAAGGGAGAGCCTGGCTGCACGTTTTCACCCTGGGCTCACGCCGGCCAGCCTGTCTGCCGGTGGTGGAGAGCTGCGCTGGGAAATGCTGTGTTCCCATGAGCGTTTCAGCCAGGCAACTGTGGAGACTTGTCTTGAAAAGGGTAGGCCAGGGCCAACAGACCACACTGGGGGTCCAGAACCCTGTGGACCCCACCGGGGCACAAGTGGTAAGCAGTCATGCTAAACAATCACACAATTCATGGCTGCTCCTGCCCCCCAGACACTGTGGTATGCACTTGACACACATTAACTCCCTTACAGTTCCAAAATAGCACCGCGGGGGCGCGCGGTTATTAGCCCGGATTCACACGTGAGGAGAGCAGCAAGTTTGCGCTGCCTGCTTCACAGCTTGGGCTCACAGCTGGTAAGTGGGGGCCTGCTAGCAGAGGCACCCTGGGCAGTGTGCCCTGTGTGACCCTCCCTCCTGCGGCTGAGTGGATCCTGGATGGACACCTGACTCCACACGGCCAGTTCATTGGCTAATGGGATCCTCAAGCATTTTGAGCAGGAGTGGCAGAGGTTCTGGTCCCTAGAAAGAGGGCAGCAATGCGGCCGCCGCTGTGGATTGGGGCAAGCTGATGACGAAGTAGAGGGGGGTGGTGTGGTGAGGGGCTGGTGGCAAGAAAGCCCCTGTGATCCCACAAAACAGATAAACAGATGGTGTCTGCGGTGTAACAGGCCTAGGTTGGAATATGGTCCTTGGATAAAGAACCCACTGCTCTAGAACCCAGATTCATTGTTACACAACAAAAGCTCACAGACAACAGCTGCTAAGCATGGCTGTTTCCTTTCCTAAGATCCCATCATTTGCCTCTGTGTGTGTGTATGTGTGTGTGTGTGTTGGTACTGGGGCTTGAACTCAGGGCCTTGAGCTCTCACTTGGCTTTTTTGCTCAAGGCTGATAGATACTCTTGAGCAACACCTCCATTTCCAGCTTGTTGTTGGATAATTGGAGTCTTATTTCCTCTGGGTGCCTCCCATGCCACTCGTCCTTGGGGGGTAACTTGTGGTCAGTCTGCAGTTAGGACATCTCCCTCAAGGCAGAGAAACCTGGGCCAATGCCAACCAAAAGGAGGCTTCTCAATAGTGGAACCACATGTGCTGCTAGCCTGACCTTTGTGCAACAAACTTCCTCTGAAGGCTTCATGCATGTGATTGTATCTCACACAGATACTTAAAACCAGGGGATGGCAATCATGTAAGATGCACAGTTCCTTTCCCAACATCTGGCAAGTCATGATTCTCAAAGCCCACACACTCCAAATCCTAGAAAATGGAATCCTTAAGCACATGTTTCCTTAACACTATGCCTTTTTTTCTCTTTGTGTGGCCACTTTACATACGTGTGTGTGTATGTGTGTGTGTGTGTGTGTGTGTCTTTGTTCAATTCTATCCTTGGTTGGAGAAGCCAAGAATCTGAGATCTTCACCTCCTTAACTACGCTCCTATTACCCTTAGATCATCTTCAGTGTCTCCATAACCATCTCTTACGCCCCTGCCTTCTCCCTACCCCAGCTCTAACAGCTCCCTTCTCATTTTCATGTCCTTCCCCAACACCCCTCAATTCCACGCTTGACAGGAAACACGTGAGACTTTCCTTTGGGGGTCGGACTCACTTCACTGAATGCCATCTTGAGCTGCCTCATCTTGCGCTCTCTTTTTGGAGACAGGCGGAATGCCCAGTTTCTACTGCTAGACTCCACTGTTAGGGCCGGTAGATAAAATCAAGTTATCACAGAGGGGAGGGAAGAGAGGGAAGAGGACAAAAGGGCAGGGAGGGGAGGGCAGGAACGGCTGTTTCAGTGGTTCAAGGAAGTTCTGGATAAGTTGCTGGAGTCCAGATGCCTGGAAAAGTAAGTGAGACCACCCTCAGCCCATCCTCCGCTAGCTGCTGCCTCCAGGAAGTCAGTAGTTCAGCTGATTCATAGCTCAGTTTGTGGCACTGACACCCTTTCTTATAAGAAAGGTTTGCTGAGGACAGAGGAAGGAGTCTTAGCTTAGGAAGGCTTCCCGGAAACTCTGAACATTGGAACAGAAAAACTTGCTGTGTGTCTTAGCTACACCTCCTCCATATTAAAGATAGGGTGGTGGCTCGTTTCCTCCCTCCCAGCAACCTGCAGCCTCTGTATTGATCTCCTTGGAGTTGGAGCCACTGCATAGGCTTTGAGGGCTGGCTTCCTGTCCCGGCTTCTCCCCTCTGAGGTCTGTGTTTCGCAGTGACAGCCCCAAATCTAGGCCTGGCCATCGGCTTTCCCTTTGTCAGACCTCCCCCATGGTGCAGACTTTGAGGCCAACCACACACCTTTGACAAGTTACATTTGCACAGAGTCAATCTTGTAGCTCATAGAGCAAAAGCTATATATAGCAAACCCTAGAGTTTTCTGGGCTCTGGTTGTTCCTTGAAATGTTCAGGGCCCAAGGCTGACATCCCAAGCAACACTGGAGTGTCCTGGATGGCTGCTCAGTACCCCTCTTACCTCAGCAGGGGTCCCCTAGGGGATATCTTGCTTTGTGGGGGCCTGAGGAAGGGAAGAAATGCCCTCTGAGTACCAGGGTCTTTCTAGGACCACACTCGGAGAACTGCTCTCTTGTCAGTGCAGCACTGACAAGTTCAACTCACAATTCCCAGTGTTACAAGGAAGAGAGTCCACCACACACATACAGTCTCATATAAAAAGATGGATTTATTTGGGGAAGTGAAAAGCTGGCCAGCCAGGGATACAGCACAGACTCGGGAGCTGACACTGCGACCTTGAGCTGTCCTCAAGCTGGGGTTTTAAAGGCAAAAACCACAAACCCTGTGGTTGAGCCTGGCTACACACAGGTGACGATAGCATTGCTAGACACACAGAAAGATTACCTAATTGGTGGGCACATGGCGGGGGGTGTCCCCATGAGTCTGGGGGGTCGTCTCTCTGTAAGTCTCCCCAAATAGAGGAAGTCCTTTTTGGGAACAAGCTGGTCTGTTACATTTTATAATGCAAATGGTCAAGCAAGTCAGATAATCTTATTACAGCAAGTAGAGGAACTTTCCAGTTTTAACATTTTAGTATTGTTTTAACATGCAGATCATCAGCATTTTAATTTTAGCTCAGGGGAGGGGGGAAAAAGCTCCTAGTACATTAGAGATGGAGTCAGTTTCTTCTCTTCCGGCTCCCCTGGGTATTTGGGTGGGACTGGCCTCAGTTTTACTCTTTTCCTCTCCTGGCCTAGGAGTGCAATCAAACCACAGTCTCCTGACTCTGGAGTCCCACCCAGCCAATAATAATAATAATAATAATGATAGTAATGAGAGGTGTCTCTTAGTAGAAAGGAAGGTAGGAAAATTAGTTGTGCGTGGCTGTGTGGACTCCAGGGACTCCTAGGGTGGAACAAGCCCCTCTGGTCACTGCCACCTTGTGTGTGTGAGATGAAGCCATAGGCACTGGGGAACCACGGCCAGCTTCGGGAACAGAAAGCACGCGAAGGCATCATGAAAACTGCTCAGAGGCTGATCTGGCGCATGCGCAGATGCATCCTACACGCTCACCTGGCGCGTCTGCAGCCACAGCGAGAAGTAAATCTGGCGCATGCGCACACACATCAGGAAGGCTAACGTGGCGCGGACGCGGACGAGCCTTGCCGGCTCCTGTAGCATGTGCGCGCGCAGGCGCATCACCGTGGGTTAGTCTGGCGCAGGCGCAGATGCAGCCCACGGACGGACGACTCCGGCCTTGGAGGGGCGGTAACCTGCGCACGCCTGAAGGGCGCTTCCTCAAGGAGCCTCCAACCTTCTAGAAACAGGGACAGGGCTCCTCGCGGCTGCGAGGCGTGGCCTGGTGTGGCGCCCACGGTTAGAAGTCAGTCCATCCCAGACAGCTGGGTTAAACCCGCCTTCCCTCCCGCCTCACTCCCTCAAGCGGAGACCAGGCGGGCCTCAGGCGGGAAGAAGCGGGCCTCAGACGGGGAGAAGCGGGCCTCAGGCGGAGAAGAAGCGGGCCTCAGGCGGGGAAGAAGCGGGCCTCAGGCAGAGAAGAAGCGGGCCTCAGGCAGAGAAGCGGGCCTCAGGCGGAGAAGAAGCGGGCCTCAGGCGGAGAAGAAGCGGGCCTCAGGCAGAGAAGCGGGCCTCAGGCAGAGAAGCGGGCCTCAGACTGAGAAGAAGCGGGCCTCAGGCGGAGACCAAGCAGGCCTCAGGCGGGGAAGCGGGCCTCAGACTGAGAAGCGGGCCTCAGGCGGGGAAGCCGGCCTCAGGCGGAGAAGCGGGCCTCAGACCAGGGCTCAGAGTCGCTTCAGGTGAGAAGCTTTCCTGGTTCCCACAGCCCCCGGGAATCACATACCCTCCCCCTCTTCCTCCTCCCTACTATTCTGTGCCGAGGTTAGGCCTCAACAGTCTTCAGGTGTGACCACCTGACTGTGAAGCCTGAACAAAATAGAGCAATTTTAGGTCTGGATTCCATTTTGTCTGGGAGCTGTGTCAGCAACTCCCCTTGATCCCCCTTGGGCCCAAATTCCAGAAACAACCCCCTTTTACGGTAAATTCTACTAACTACAGCTAATCAGCAGATAACAGGAAAACCCCAAGTTCCAGAAGTTCCTGCAAGTTAAAGACCACACGGTCGTGGCTCAGACCATCTGCTTTAGCCAGTCATTTCAAAGAGCAACAACTCCATGAACCAGCCAATCCCCAGTACCTGGTCAGTTCCTGTCACTGGTGACGCTAATCATCTTTTAGAATTATTTTATGATTTTTCCCACGGTGTGATATGATTTGTTAAGTGTTGCAATGGCGCATAGAAGTCCCTAAAAACCCTATAAAAACCCTGCTAGAGGAAGGGTTGGGCTCTCAACTGACCCGCTATGTCGGTGATGGTGGTGAGTCCAGGCTCGAGCTTGTGTGCTTACATGGGAATCGGCTCCTTGGTGGTCTTTGGGGAT